CACAGTTAAGAAACATGTTTCCCTGTACAATGAAATTTTTACTTTGCTGTCCACATGAATGCCACAAAATACAAATGAAAGATAAAGTAGATAAATAAGTAACAGAAAATCTAAGGTACTTTAAGCAGCAACAGATGCAGTAATATAATAAAAAATATATATATGAATATAACAGAATGTATGCAGCATGGGAGGAGCATATGCATCAGAGTCATTGTGCAATTATGCATGCAACACAAATAAGTAACACACAATCTAGGACACTTTAAGCAGCAACAAATGCAGCAATATAATAAAAGAATATTATAGAGAATGTATGCTGCATGGGAGCAGCATGTGTAGCATTCAACAGTCATTCTGCAATTATGCATGTGCAAACTGAGAATGTAAACAGTACAAAAATACATTGTGGAACATTTCTGTATTATTATTATTGCACATGTCTAGTAAGGGGTTATTGCACATATATTCTCACATTTTCATATTTGCCATCAAGTCGTACTGTGGCAGGGAAAAAGCTGTTGTAAAGTCTACTTCTGTGTGATGATACTGTCCGCCCTGCTGTGCCTGAGGCTGTAGGTGCAGTTTATGTGTCTGAGCAGAGAGTGAGCTGGGTGGCGTGGGTCTCTGAGTATGTTCTCTGCCCTTTTACGACAGCGCTGTGTGTACAGTGTGTCCATAGCAGGCAGTTCAGTCCCAGTAATCCTCTGCAGTCTTGATGACCCTTTGAAGAGCCTTCCTCTCTGCCTGTGTGGTGTTACCATACCAGACTGTGATGCCAGTAGTGAGGATGCTCTCTACCAGTCCTCTATAAGCCTGGGTGAGAGGGCAACGGTTCAGCCCAGCTTTTCTGAGCCACCCGATGAAGTATAGCTGCAGCTGGGCTGTCTTCACTGTGGCAGCTGTGTTCAGTGACCAGCTCAGGTTAGATGTCACCTGAGGGCCCAGGAACTAGTGGCTGTCAGCCATCTCCACCTCAGTCTCTTTGATGGTCAGAGGCAGCAGAAGGGAGGGGTTCTTCCTGAAGTCTACTATTATTTCTTTTGTCTTGTTTATATTGAGGATTGAGGATGAGGTCATTCTCCTCTCCATAAACAAGAATATCATTCACCAGGCTTCTGTAACCTGACTCGTATGATATTTTTTTGTTTGTGTGTTTTTTGCAGAATCAGATAAAATACAGCAATTTAATAATAACAAATTAGACAAATTTCCTAAATGAACGTATACAGTATTTAATACTAATGGATTATGAAAATATTTGAATCTTTTCAAGTGTTTGAAAATATAAAATGAGCATTGTCTCTGTTTGCTGCACTTTTCCTTATTATTTTAAAATGTGCACAAGTACACAAGTGTGAACTAAACTCTGTAAAAAAAAAAAAAGGAAAGAGAAAGGACTGACGAGGCTGTCTGCAAATATTGTATGTGTGCAGATTTCTTTTGTTAAGTACCCCAGTGAAATCAGACATAGGGCGATCCCAATTATCTAAAAAAGCCACATATCAGCAACTCTCATATTGACCAACCAATCAGTCTCTTACTATATACAGTATATTTATTTATCTGAGTGGAACATTCAACTTGTTTCCTTTTCAAGTTCGTTTCTCTCTTGTGTCAAGCATTAGACAGATGCAGCATTTTGATGTAAAGCATGTATACCAGAAGCTACAGCAAATGTGATCTCTCTGCAGATGCACAGACAAACCCATAAGACAGAGCCACAGATATAGAAAGATTACAGACATTTTGAAAAGTCTGCTCTCTGATGTTGAACAGAAGATTATGTGTAAAGCAATAATCCCGACTTGGATGCAAAGAAGGAAGAATGGAGTGAGGAGAGATGGATGACATGTGAAGAGATGTAGATGTTTGTATGTGTGTGTGGGGGTGGGAGGGTAGGTTGTCAGAGTTCAGGATGAAAGTTGAAAAGAAATGCAGCCACATCTAAACAATTTTCACCATGAAAACATGACATTTTGAGGAAAATAATGGCTTATAAATGGATATTATGTTCTCGTATTTAATGTGTTTAGCATAAAAGTAGTCAGAATTTTCTAAATGTAAATAAATGTACCTACATTTTCCCTAAATGTCTATAGGTTACACACTTGGGATAATCCTGGATTTGCTGTCTGGCTTAAATACAACTGAGAACTTCAGACACATTTTTGTCAACCGCCACCATTACATTACACTGGTACACATGGTTTTAGGTCAAAGAAGAGCTTTTGAGAAAGCGCAGATTTGTGAGAAAACCTTTAATATTTTGTACAGTTATAGAATACACCAGAGAACTACAACTTTTATTAAGACATTTCAGATTCTTAGTACTTCATACTTATTATATATATTTAGTATATTGTCATTAACAGTCAATCTTTTTAGGGCCCAAATTTTATGAGGACCAGGTTAACAACAGAACAGTGTTCATATATATTCTTTATTGCTATTATATAATTTCTATTTGTTTACCCCAGCATCTAAAGTGCATTAATAAAGTCCCATAAATACAAATCTGGGCAGTATGTACACAGTATGACTTCAAACTGTATTCCATAATTTGACTCTATTAGCTTCTAGTTGCTATCAGTTCAATGATAAACATTAGTGAAACAATGTGACATAAAGGAAAGTTGCAGTATTTACACAGAGGGATTAAATATATGAAAAGGGTTAACAAACTCAAAGAGAAGAAGGGAGGGGATGAGTAGGAATGACTTTAGTCTTTCAGTGGTTCATAGTGGATGAGACGCATTGCATTGTCATTTTCAATCACTCCTGTGATGAACTCTCCTTCAGCCAGTCGTTCTATGAGGAAAAACAAACACAGTGGTCCATGACTGGTAGATACATAATAAAGCATGCACAACACAAATTATGCTGCCCCTAGCTTGCTTGTATTATAATAATTAAGCCAAAAAGCTGAATGTAAAATGCACTCTTCCTAAAAGATGTGGGATCAGTTTCTGAAGATTTCTTATCTCTTGATAAGAACAAAATTACCCCTCATGCACCACAGGGGTAAGTGTATGTGCATACGTATATGTTGCATGTGTGTTATTCCTCTTACCATTGTCTCCCTTGTTGAAGTAAGCCCACAGCTTGTTGGCTCTCTTTTCGGGTGTGTTCTCATCCTTTGGTAGCCTGCTCTGCTCATCCTTGGGGATCAGCTTAAATATGGCCTGGGGGGTGGGGATGGGTGTTATCAAATAGGTGATAGTACTGCACCGTTTATCTAACATCAATAATGTACTGACATCAATACAGTACAAAAACAAATGTATACAAACCAAGAAGCATGTTTTTTGTGGGCCATGTCAGCAAGCTCCTATTACTCTTAATTTAATTAGTGTCTAAGTGTACGTGTGATTTATGAAGCCTCTGATGTGAAGCAACTTGAAAAAATACAAACTATTACTTTATCCTGGTGATTTTAATTTGTTTAGTCCCAGATTACTGTAGCAACTGTACACTGAACTGGAAATTTGGCTGAATACAACCAAATCAAGCAGCCTGCTATTAAAAATTACACAAAATATATCCTGCAATGTCCTCATGACAAGTGATCTGCCAACCAAATGCAACTACAAGAGCTTGATAATCACTATGTGTAATCTATGTATATAAATTTTAAAGTCAAATTTAATAATCAACCAGCCCACAGCAGAAATACAGATAATTCATCTGCAATATCCCACTTAGAATCCAGCAGCTCGTAAATGACTGTGCACTTTAGGTTCAGGCCATTAAGTGTGTGTCCCACTTAGAGAGGAGGCACTCATCAACCACATTTAAGACACCTAGATTAACATGGATTAGTGCCAAGACTCAGGCCACAGTCCAAACACCAAGATGTCATCTGTTTTTCTCTGGACTTGCCCCTCAGGTCCTGTGGTCTGAGGCTGTAGTCACAAATATAAAACCAAGCAGTGTGAAGCAGCTGCTTGCCCTCAAATAAAGTATAACTGAGCCTAAACCTTACAGTATTTATTCACCAGTCTGGCCTGTCAGTGTACTAGACTGATCTAATTTTGACATTTTGAATTTTTCTCCCTCCCTCACCTACATTTCTTACTTTAATCCAGAACAGACAGGGTCTTTCAAGAGTGTTCAGTAATATCGCTGTGCATATTGAACATCTTTCTTTCTTTACCCACCAAGTATTTTGCATAATAGGAAAAGTCTAATCTTGATGTTATCATGGTGACACTACTGTCTGATGCAGCTGATGAGAATAATAAAGAGTGAAAATAAGACAAATGATTAGAAATTCACATTTCTAAAAAGGCAAAACTTTTACAAGATGTATCACTGTAGTATAAAAACAGCAGCCATCATTAACTGATTTTTGCTGCACCAGTTTAAACACCAACTCATTCTCACCTGACAGATCTCTGTCACTTCTGACTTGTTGATGTATCCGTTCTTGTCTACATCAAACAGCGAGAAAGCCCACTCCAGTTTCTGGGTTGTCTTTCCAGTGGAGGTCATGTGCAGTGCAATGATGTACTCCTTGAAGTCCAAAGTGCCATCATCGTTGGTGTCAAAGGAGCGAAACACATGTTGTGCGTAGCTCGTGGCATCACTGTCAGGGAAGAAGCGGGTGTAGATCTGCTCAAACTGTTCTGGTGTTATTCGTCCTGTTGGGCACTGCTTCTGAAAGTTCTCGTACCACAGGCAGATCTCATGTTCACTGAATTTGGTGCTGAACTTCAGGTCCTCCAGGATCTCCTTGGATAATGCACTACTGGTGGTATTTCCCATTGTAGATGCTTTCAGTGTTTTAGTAATGTGTCACTTCTATCAAACTGGCTGGCAAGTATTTGCCAACAGAGTTCTTCAGTGGCGTTCTTCCCCAGTGCAACCTGACTTTCTCCTCTTTCCAAATGTATTATTATTGTTCACTGGCTTGACTTCTTCTTTTGATATTAGAAGCCAAACAGAACCCTGCAAGTGACAGCAAAAACATGATTTAGAAATGTGACATAATACACGTATGAAATTTTTAAAAATATTAGGATCACCACAAATATATAAAAAGCTTACCTGTGTGTGCTGTGTGGCCAGACAATGGCTACCTGTCTCGACAGTAAGACAGTGAGAGATAAGGAGGACAGGGGGAAACACATTCCTACTGTGGATGACTGGGTTAATTGTGTTAATAGGGGATTTAAGGTGGATGAGCTTTTGACTGAAATGAACACCCGGATGTTATTTTTCATCTTTGGGTGTGAAAGTCTAGAAAGCTCTATTAGACAACACTCATCCATCCATTATCTATACTGTTTATCCTGACAAGGGTCAGATTGGTACATTTCCAGTTCTTCCAAAGCCTATTTTTTAAAAAGCAGCTAATACTGCAGGGTATTCTTTCAGCTAAATATGGCTGTGATTCCATCCATTATCTATACTGTTTATTCCTATATAGGGTCATGGGGGGCTGGAGCCAATCCCAGCTGACATTGGGCAAGAGGCAGGGTGCACCCTGGACAGTTCATATTGAGTTCATTTTGCAATTACATTATTTATATGGACGCTGAGTCACTAGTATGTCTTGTGTATGTGTGATTTTTTTTTAAATCCAAGAATCATTTAGGAAAGATTCAGAGTATTGCACTGTACCGTTATAGTCACAATTTAGTCAAAGTGAGATGTTTTGAATAAAAATGTAATCATTTGTTTGGTAAACTGATCACAAAATCAGTGGGCATTTTCTGGGAAGCTATGTGAGCCTAGCCTCAAGTGAGGTTTCAAAGTTAGCTTTAGGTTCTCCAGCATTATGTCTGCTATTTCTGTGAGGGCTTTTCAGTGGGTTTAGTTGACCACTGACATCTAATTCCAGATTACCATCTGTCCATGCAGTTTAACTCCCTCTCCTGCCAAACCTCTACCTCAGTCACGCCTGTGCCCCTCATATCATCACCTTCTCTTGACTGAGCTATGTCTCATTTCACTGACTTTGTCTTACTGAGCCAAGGTGTAGAAGTGTTGCCCCTCTGTCCTTACTCTGCAAAATTGTGTTGTTGTCTGTAGAGCACATCTCTTTTTGCATTCCAGGCTTAACTTGTGTTCCCTCTTCTCTCCACAATGCTCTAAAAGAATCTTGCGTTACTCAGTAAAGCAAACATGTGTTCTGATTAGTTTGCCTTCACTTTCACTGGTGCAAACTTTTGTACCCAGAACCCTCTGACTCAGTCCTGATCTTTTGGCTATGCATATATTATGGAGACCATTCTGTATAAGGTCTCCATGTCGGCACATCAAACTGACTTCACAACAAATTTATGTCGTCAGTCTTTTTTCTCCATGTCTCCTTTCATTAGACTGAATGTATTATTGAGATTGTCTTAACTGTTGCTTCAGACTAACTTATCCAGGCGGTGGGAGTGTATGGTAGACCTTCTTTTTTACATATTAACACAGTAGTATGGTGGAAACAAGATTAAAGTAGATGAAAGCAGAGTTTAACAGCATTTGAAGCATTTCTTTCATATACTGTTTAATACACTGTGTGATTATCATTCATGTCTTATTTTTTACAGCAGGATATTATTTGCTCCATAAATATGCTCATTGAGTCCATCTATTGGATTACTTAGCCTTCCCCACCCTCTCCCACCCAGTCTAGCACTTAGCCATTTACTATCATCTTCAGCCTATAAGTGTCATGGCCAATAGAATTACCCCCTCATTTCCACAAACCAATCCCTGCCATCTGACCTACACCCTAGACTGTACTAATTGCTAGAGCTGGAGCAAGCAAGGATTTGTGGTTACTTTTGACATGTTATCCTACTTGTGGAGAGTGTGAGGGTTCATGTAAAGTGGATGTCTGGCATCCAAGTGTGATCATGACATTAAAATTTAATAAAGATATGATGCTATTGTCTCTACAGTACTTATTTGATTGCTTTGCAATAATAAATATGATATATCTTTTGCAGGCAGTAATGTATAACACACACAAAACAGTGTAGTAGGTGAAAATGTATCAATAATAGAAGTCAACACATGTAAACATATCTGCAATTAGGCAATTGATTCACTACTGGCACTGTCCCAGTTGTCTGGGCAGCATTACAGCCACCTGTGTTACAGCACTTACCTGAGAAACATCAGCACTTACATATACACTACCAATCTGCCCCACTCAATGTCAGCATGCCAGGTGAGGCTATTCATTCATGTATTTCTTGACGCATAAAAATACTGAAACAAATAAATGGTTTATGTCCCATTTCTGTGTAATTCTTAATGCTTAAGGGAGACTGGGGCATCTTGTTACACTTGTCAGTCTTTTTATACATCCAGGAATCTGTACATCATATTGTTTCAAATGATACACCAAATGAAAAAAGAACGGCTCAGCTATATATTTTGCATTCATTACATTTTCATATTACTTCATATATTACTTCAAAACAGAGTTATAGGCAGTTAAATAGTTAGTGTACACTTGTGACAATATTTTCCATTAGTGGGTAAGTTGTCACAGTTTGTAGGTAAGATGTTACCCAGCACACAGCAAGTCCTGCAAGATTTCAGTCAAATGTTACCATTTTAGTAAAACATTAAAACTTTGTCCTTGAATTTTAAACTTGTCCTAACTATAACAATTTGAAGTTGTTGCAATGGACAACTTGTCCCAGAATCAATGAGACAACTTACTCTGTGCTGCCGTGTTTGTTAAGGCTTGCTTTATCTTATGTTAGCTTAGCACAGGAAATTAGAGAAAGATAATAAAAGACACTGCGCTCTCGCTTCTTTAAAGTAAAGCTATATTACCTTGGTAATTCTATATTAAAAGAAGAAAGCTATATAAAATATAATGTCCAAGATGAAAACCAGTAAGTCTGTGTTCACATCAGGTTACAGCATTGCTGGCCTCTCCCAGACAGGACATTGTATCAGCCCAGAGATGCACAAAACCTATATTCAGCTTGGAGGTAACACCCTACTGTGTTGGAAATATGAGCAGTGTGACAACTAATCTCACTCTCCCCTGTTCCCTAAAAGAACAGCTTGATAAAAAAAAAACATTACTTTTATATCAGAAAACAAATCTCAATCAAAACAGTCACAAGGTTGAATAGTACACCAAACACCCCAACATTTCAGAACATGCCATGAGAAATGGGAACATTTAACAGGAAAATGTTCTTAAAAAGAAAAACCCTTTCACAGCCCAAACAATGCCTTGGTGCAACACAACTCAAATGTTAAGCGTGAAAGAGAGAGGAAAAGAGGAAGGGAGTTGTTCCTAGATAAATATCTGGTAATGGGTTGTAATGGCACTTAATGACAGATGAGAACTTCCTACTAAACACAAGGAAAGCAATGAACAAACAAATGACAACAATCGTAACAATTGTGTGTACCATTCTGCAAGGCCTCAAGTTGTGACGTACTTGATAAAGGTAACAGCGCTTGGGCCCCCTGCTCCCATTTCTACACCCTCTTTCCAGAGAGAAAGTCAGCAACACCTTTAGGTTTCACTCTTAAAGAGTTTAATTAAAGAAAAGAGATTCTATGTATGAATTTACAGGATCGTCTCTTGTCATAATTTCCACTGACATCTAAGCTGATTTAACACTGAGGTAAGCAATGTTATACTTTTTAAATAAAATGCAGTTTTGTTTCACTAAAGCTATCAGTATTGTCTTGATTTTACAAATTATTTACCAATCCATCCAAATTTCTAGTGCAAGCAGAGACAGTCCTACTTTTATAGATTCAATTTGATCCAGCCAATTAAAATGTAAGATATACAAATCAAAATACTGAGTGTCTTTAATAAAAACTCAGGCTCTTGATTTCAGCTTAAGGTTTTATGGACTAGAGTATTTTGTAATATCAGTTAATAATGATGGATTTCTTAAGGGCCCATGAGGTTGAATACTTTCATTATTCAACACTGTGTCACATTGCAGGAGCAAAAAAGAGGAAGACACAGCAGTGCCTGCAGAATCTCTGGTCATCTGACAAAGGAATTGAAACCAACCATGACAACCAAGATGGAAACACTTGATCCTTCCGCTCTATCAGATGTCACTACTGCTGTCACATACAACCCTAAATCGGAGACAGTGACCTTACCTGGAGGGCTCACCTCCGTGGCGGGCCTTACCGTGGTTACTGGTGGTGCTGAATTGTCCTGTAGATCCTGCATGATGGCGTTTTGCTTTTGGAAAGCTCTGGTTGGCTTCAGTTGCATAGCGGTGGGTCTGTGGGACCAAGTGAACAACATTAAAGAAGGAACTTCTCATCTGCTGGGCTTGGGAATTGTGATTCTTGCACTCTGTTTTGTGGTGATTTTATGCATGGTGGCATATGCCCTCCTGAAGAAAAAGAAGAGAGAGGATGGAAGAGAAGTTCTTGTGGAGAGTAAGAGGGTAATTAAAAAGGTCACAGTATAAAAAGACATTAATGGTAAATTGGAAAAGAAACTGATGACAAGTCTGCACAAAATTCTGAATGCACTGCTCTGTAAATAGCACACAGTCATAGTGGCAGGAGAAAATGTTGCTGTGCTCTGATCTTTTGCAAAACAAATTCACTCCATCTCCGTTTTATTCTACCTCATGGTCTTCCCTTTATCTTTCAATCTAAACTAAGCAGACGTGCAACTCCTGTGTTCCAGGAAAACATATTCCCTCCATTTTCTACTTCACTGTATTAAAAAAAGTACTTTTTACAATATCTTATCAACAGCTAAGATGATATAATTAATTTTTTTTTGCCAATTTTAAAGTTTTATTATCTGAAGCTTTATATGATCCTTATAATTTTGCTAAGTCTGTGTTGACTGTGGAAATGTCATTTTTATTGCTGGTTTATAGATGAGTGGATGGCTATGTTTCTTGTTTTCAGGTTTGTCTTGAAAAAATAGACTGTGATCTCAATGAGACTTGCTGAATTTTTTACAAAGTTTCTAAAGACAACCAAAATACAGGAGCAGCTTATGAAATATACTGTAGCTTGTGTGATTTGTTAAATTGATATCAACGGTATATAAAGTAGTAAAAATTACATTTCACTTTTGCAAATTAATGCATCAGTAATAACTGTCTGATAATATATGAAATATAACTTTTTAATTTTTATAACATAGAAATGTGTTATTTATATACTGATCCTTAGGCTACATATAAATCTGTCTCAAAGAGGATGTGGAAGTTGTAGAATGTGTGACAATTCAAAGGACGAGATATGACGAAACATGTTCAGAAAAGCAGGAGAGGACTAGGGCTACTGCAGGTTAAGAGAACAGAAACCAACAAAATTAGCAGAAGTAAAAGGAGAAGGCAGAGAGAGGGAAATATGTTAGCACCTCCATCTGCTGGAGGGAGAAAAAACTGTAGCCTACAGACACTATTCAGTGGCATTCCTCACCTTGATTTACAGTAAATGTTGTTGTGGCCTACACCTTACCATGTAACTCTACCTTGTGTCTGCCCTGTTTTCATACCTATTTTTCCAAGCACAATTTATAATAAACAGAAGCTTGTGCTTCATGCATTTAGTGCTGTCTCTTACCTTTTGATTAAACTTCATACCTGAATAACTCCTTATACTTTTCAATATTTGTAATTTTTAATAACATTGGCCTATTGGCTGCACATACATATTGTGAAAGTGTCAGTCTGGATAACTGTGATGGGCATTCTTCACAGAAATCATGTCATTAAAATAATCATTGATGCAGTCTTATAATTCATTCATTTTCTACCGTTTAGTCCCTGAACGGGGTCACGGGGGGCCTGGAGCCAATCCCGGCCGGCAATCGGGCGAAGGCGGGGTACACCCTGGACAGGTCGCCAATCCATCGCAGGAGTATAAAAAGACATTAATGGTAAATTGGAAAAGAAACTGATGACAAGTCTGCACAAAATTCTGAATGCACTGCTCTGTAAATAGCACACAGTCATAGTGGCAGGAGAAAATGTTGCTGTGCTCTGATCTTTTGCAAAACAAATTCACTCCATCTCCGTTTTATTCTACCTCATGGTCTTCCCTTTATCTTTCAATCTAAACTAAGCAGACGTGCAACTCCTGTGTTCCAGGAAAACATATTCCCTCCATTTTCTACTTCACTGTATTAAAAAAAGTACTTTTTACAATATCTTATCAACAGCTAAGATGATATAATTAATTTTTTTTTGCCAATTTTAAAGTTTTATTATCTGAAGCTTTATATGATCCTTATAATTTTGCTAAGTCTGTGTTGACTGTGGAAATGTCATTTTTATTGCTGGTTTATAGATGAGTGGATGGCTATGTTTCTTGTTTTCAGGTTTGTCTTGAAAAAATAGACTGTGATCTCAATGAGACTTGCTGAATTTTTTACAAAGTTTCTAAAGACAACCAAAATACAGGAGCAGCTTATGAAATATACTGTAGCTTGTGTGATTTGTTAAATTGATATCAACGGTATATAAAGTAGTAAAAATTACCTTTCACTTTTGCAAATTAATGCATCAGTAATAACTGTCTGATAATATATGAAATATAACTTTTTAATTTTTATAACATAGAAATGTGTTATTTATATACTGATCCTTAGGCTACATATAAATCTGTCTCAAAGAGGATGTGGAAGTTGTAGAATGTGTGACAATTCAAAGGAGGAGATATGACAAAACATGTTCAGAAAAGCAGGAGAGGACTAGGGCTACTGCAGGTTAAGAGAACAGAAACCAACAAAATTAGCAGAAGTAAAAGGAGAAGGCAGAGAGAGGGAAATATGTTAGCACCTCCATCTGCTGGAGGGAGAAAAAACTGTAGCCTACAGACACTATTCAGTGGCATTCCTCACCTTGATTTACAGTAAATGTTGTTGTGGCCTACACCTTACCATGTAACTCTACCTTGTGTCTGCCCTGTTTTCATACCTATTTTTCCAAGCACAATTTATAATAAACAGAAGCTTGTGCTTCATGCATTTAGTGCTGTCTCTTACCTTTTGATTAAACTTCATACCTGAATAACTCCTTATACTTTTCAATATTTGTAATTTTTAATAACATTGGCCTATTGGCTGCACATACATATTGTGAAAGTGTCAGTCTGGATAACTGTGATGGGCATTCTTCACAGAAATCATGTCATTAAAATAATCATTGATGCAGTCTTATAATTCATTCATTTTCTACCGTTTAGTCCCTGAACGGGGTCACGGGGGGCCTGGAGCCAATCCCGGCCGGCAATCGGGCGAAGGCGGGGTACACCCTGGACAGGTCGCCAATCCATCGCAGGGCCAACACATAGACGATCAACCACACACACACACACACACTCCTATGGGCAATTTAGAGACACCAATCAACCTATGCTGCATGTCTTTGGTCAGTGGGAGGAAGCCGGAGCACCCGGAGAGACCCCACGCAAGCACGGGGAGAACATGCAAACTCCACACAGAAAGGGTCCCAGGTGGGGCCCGAACGCGGAACCTTCTCGCTGTGAAGCAACGGCGCTAACCACTGCAAAGTGGCGCAATGAACAGTTAAAAATTAGCTCCATCTCAGCCTACTACAATGCTGCTTACACATGCATGTACTGTAACTTATAATGAATATTTAATTATATATAATAGAGTAGCAATCTCACAAACCGTTTTTCTGCATTGACCTTTAATTTTAATACTTTAAGCACATTTTTTCTTAATTGTATTTTCCTTAGCCTAAGTAACATTTTAAATTTAGACTTTTTCTTGTAATGACGTAGCCTGTGTTAACGTTTGGTATTTGTACTTTTACTTCTTCCAACACAGCGGTATGCAACCTTTAGTAACTTTCTGATAGCTACTGCTGAAAACAACTAGTCCCCAGGTATGTGAGGTACAGTATTTTCACAGGTATCCGGCTTGGCCCCAGTTCATTCAGATCACCTGACAACTCGTTGCAACCTCCTGGTCACGTGTCATCGTTCAAGTTTCAGAAAACCTTTTTTTCTTCTTCTGAAAACAGAGATACCCTATATCCCGCCTCTTCTTCTCGTCTATTGGTTGTATTAGACAATTGAAGCGCTCTGATTGGCCAAACAGAAGCCATGTCTCTCACGTCAGAACCAAACAACCCACCCTCCTTTAACTTGTTTAGGTGTAGTTGCTGTCGTCCATGAACAAAACGTCAGGGTGCTTTGTATTTTGGGGAAGCGAAATGAAAGTTACCAAGGCGTTAGCTATTAAGGTGAGTTTGTTAAACAGCAGTCGTCCAGCTCGACGACTCGGCTTGTTCTTTGGTCAATCCACAACTTTGTAAAGTTGCTATTAAAGACCTCTGAAGGTGTCCGCTGACAGTCACGTTAATCTTACTTATTTATGCACTAACATTATGTCAGTTCAAGTATATCGTTTGCAAAGGTTTTCCTTCTTCGTAGCTAAGAAAGAAGACTAATTAGGGTAATTATAGTATACAACCGTCAGGCTTTCGTACTTGTGTATTTCTATTTATACAATTTAAATTTTTGTGGTACCGTTTTACGCCTGCACACTTAAGGTGTTTTTCCATCATAGCACCGTATCGAAACATGTTGTGCCGGGTAACGCTCATCACGGGTTCCGGGCTGGTTGCCACTACACTCGGCCCGCTTTGGGGGGTGGGGGGCTTTCTGGGTTTTTTTTTCTTCAGGTTCTCAAATGAGATAATTTTTGTCTTTGATAGCAAACTGATTATTTTTGAGTTTCAGATAGTTGGTCCTACAAAAAACGTCACCTCTGACCAATGGAAACTGTGATCAGCATTTCACTATTTTTGATCATTTCATAGACAAAGATGAGCGATCAAGAAAGTGATGGATTATGACAGGTTAATTGGTAATACCATTTTCATTTGTGTAAAAACAGTGCAATTCTAGATTTGTGTTACAGTAGTTTTGAAACACAGTTATTCAGGTTACTATCACAGGAAACAAACATTCATTTGAAGTGGCTTAAATTGTAATCAGAATAGTTTGAATTATTTTCTGCCCATTGAATAGTTGGTGAGTCAGCCATTTCAGATCTTTCTGTGAAATTGCTTTAGTTGTGCTGAAGTTTTTGACTGTGTGTTCAGCTCTCTGGATGACTGATGCAAAAACAAACTTGTGTAATCTAAACTATATGGTTACATTTCTCTGTAAACCTGAACACTAACAAATGAGGCTACTGATTTTTAATAAATGTCTTTTTAGTGTGTACTCTGACTTAAATCCAACTATTGTAATTTAAATTTTGTCCCTACTGTTAGGTATTTTTAGTCAGATAGATATTGGATAGATACTTTATGTATTAGAAATGTTTAGTGGAGATAGGATGTCTAGTTAGACTGTTAAATGCTTAGGCATGCTTATGAGTTTCTACAGGGTACATCTGGTCAAGGATAACTAGAGAGAAAAGTTGATGACTGTCAGAAGACAGGGTGTTTAATATTATTATTATGACGTGTATAACTGTAGCCTTAGCCATAATGTTCTTATGTTCAAGTCACGACATGTTACTAGAGGTCGTGAGAATGTTTTTAGCTACACACCACTTAATCAACAGACACACACACATTGATTTGCTTCATGTTTTGACTACTGCTATGGCCAGCTGCAAAGCTGGCAACAGAGACGTCTCGGTTGACGTTTCTGTGTAGTATGGGGCTAGCCCAACCGAAGAGATA